TTCCACTCCCCTCTGGAATTAATGCTTCGTGATCGGCAAACCGCTGGTTGTCAACTTGACGTTTCTCCACTCACTACTTAAGAGAATTACTCGTAATGGCTGCGCTTGAACAACCTACGAAAAGATCCGTTTCTGATATTTGTGTTCCGAGGTGCCTATCCTAACCTTTATTAAAATCTGATAAATCAGCGTTTTTCCCCATTATGATGCTAGTGGCCGTGGTAGCCCACTGGTCATGGTAGCGGATTCATGACCGGTGTGTAATGAGTTCAAGCCTAGTACCGCTAAGGATCAGCCGTGTTGAGGAACGATGCATGTTAAATCTGTCGAGAGTTTAAACGTCTTCCCTTGGTGTGGTGTGGTAGCTAGGAGAGGAAGGGCCAACTGGGGGTTCGTCCTCGTCACTTGACCATGGTTCAAAATTACGAGGTCCGTCGTCACAAGCTCTCGAGTAGCTGAACAGTTTGTCGTTAATATTCATTCACTCACCCATTATGATGCTTAACATTCTATGTGTAAGTTGACAAAATATAAGCGCTTTGCATACTCCGCAAATACTTATCGTGGGTGAGCCGTAGTATTGTCTCTGAAAAGGCTCATTTCCCTAGGGAAGGAGTGATCATAACGTAATGGCTCTTGCCAGTAGTGGACACAAGGGGGTGGGGATCCTCGTGTCAGCACCCCCATAGCCCTTGATTTTTTTTGATTGACTATAATTCTATGTATATAGTACGTAAAATTTAATTAACTATTTGTTATTAATAATTAATTTTATTAATTAATGCTAATTATTTATTCAATAATTAATTTTGTACTGCTTTCTGTTTCCGAAAATCGAAAAAATCAAAAGAATATGTTGGGCGACGTATTGGAACATGATACGAGAATGGTGGACTTTCGACCCTGGATCCCCCTTGCCTTGAAAAATTCCTGTGTGCACTACTGATTCTTGGGTGTTTTTAACAGAAAGTGAGAGAGAATGCACTCAATAATGATAATACAAAAAAATATGTTTAAATCTTAATACTTCGAAATTATTATTTTTGATTGTTTTTGCACCAGTATGTCGGTATAGATTATATACATTGAGGTCATAATTGCTATTATACTTTATATAATGATTTTCTTTATTATATGCCAGTTTGTTGTCTCCTATTACATAATGAAAATATCTTATTATATTCATACCAGATAAATACAACATTCGACGCTTCTTGAAAAAATAAAAATATCAAAAGGAGATTGGGATAGATATATTGATAAGAAAATTGAATAGAACAATAAAAATGCTTAAAATATATAAATAAAACTAACTGTAAAAAACATTGATCCTTTTCTTTCATTCAGTTGTCCCGTCAGGATATTCTGTTGAAGAGATAAACAAGTGTCAATTTTGTAAAATTTATAATATTGGGTAAGTAATGTATAGATATCTATGATTAAAGCTTGTATAATAATTCTCTTTATATCAATAAGTATTGTCTCATTAATATTTTTTTATCTAATTAAGTCTTTTAAGTAATGAAAGCATTTTGATTTTATGGGATCACAAGAAATATAATTAAACTGTAGATTTGAACACGGCTTTGTTTAATGTTTATCAAATTTTAATGATTCTGTAGCTTATAAAAATAATTTTTCTGTTAATAGAATGATAAAGTCATATTTAAAAATATATATATATAATTCCAATGTGTTAAAAATGTAAAATTATAAAAAAATGAATACAAAATTAAAAATATAAAATTATTATAATAATAAAATTTGCTGTTTTCTACCATTCTAAGTTTGTCTTCCTTTCCTCGCACTCCAAATTTTAATATTTGACAAAATAGTTGGTATCTACACTTTCGGAACCGGGATTTAAAATGCGCTTAAATGGATATTTTATGATATTTAGTGTCACTAGATTAGAATACATGTATACAAAATTTTTTTATAAGGACATTTTGATTAAAAAATTATTTAAATACACTATTCGCAAAAATTAACTTAGAATAACCTTTTTTCAAATGTTTCTTTGTGAAAATGCTTATATAATAATATTTTGCCTGTATATAGCTCAGACCTCTGTACAGAGGCTCAACTATGATTTTTAAAAAAATCCCACTATTTTCAGAGTTACAACAAATTGAAATAATGATCGGTGGTTTTTTCTTAAAATTTCTCACCTCTGTTGTCGTAAAACATCGATAAACCCACTTTTAAGTTATATATTTCAAAAGTTCTAGTTGAGCTTCTGTACAGAGGTCTGAGTTATATACAGGCAAAATATTATTATAATAGAGGCACTTTTCACAAAAGGAGAATATATTGAAAATGGGTCATTCTATGTTCATTTTTTGTCAAAATATTGTACTTAAATAATTTTTTATTGTAATACTATTTTTAAAACACTTTTATATACATTTCCTAACCTAAGTGACACTAAATATCATAAATATTATCTATTTATACGCTTTTGCAAAATCACGGTTCCGAACGTATTCGGATACCTTAAGAACAAATAACTTTACATCAAATTTATAATTTTATTTGCCCTTTTTAAAAGGATCTCTATTCCTTCCTTTTATATTCAGAAAAAAATTATTATTACTTTATATAAATTTGGAAGCAGTGGCGTATCTACCAATGGACTAGGAGGTGCCATGCACCGGGGCCCTCAATCTCAGGGGGGGAGCCTCGGACCTTTACCACCAAGCAAGCTGAATTTCCGATAATTTCACCTAAATTTAAGATATAAATATAAAGGCTTGCAACACAACTATAATCACGGCAATTCAGTTGAAAGTAATTTTGAACTTGTAAGGAATTTTCCTAGATTTTTTTCGTTGCTTGGTTAGTGTGTTGTGAACTTAACTTATTGAAAAGTTTATATAATTTTCAATTTTTTTCCATTTTTCTAAAAACTGCTCCATGAAAAATCGTACCATACTTATTATTACATTTTTAAAAACCTACACACAAAAGGCAACCCCTCCTCTGCTCTTTTGCCGAATTTTTTTTAAAAAAATAATTTTAATATTGTATTGCATTGCCTTATCCATTGTAACGTCGTCAGTCATTCGTACACAAGAAAATTTTTTTACAGCCTCATTTTAAAAATTTTAATTAGTATTTAATAGATTCAAAAATATTCATTAAATAGGCCAAGGCCGGGCGGACAGTCTTTATCACTCGAGGTCAATCCCTAGCTTTTCCGGGCTCCAGTTTACCCATGGCTCTATCTCCAAGTTTCTCTCTCCGTCCAAGTCGCTTCAGGTTTCCTCTTCTCGTCCCTCCGTCTCTCCTCTTTCTCTCAAAATTCACCCCTTTTAAACACCAGGGCGGGTCCACCACACGCCCCTCGTTCTCCTCTAGTTGGCAGGTCAAAAGAAAAGGGTCTGCCCGTCTTCCTATTGGCAGGTCAAAGAAAAGGTCTGCCCTCGTCCCCGGCCACCTTCGTCTCTCATTTACGCGGCAAACACAAACACATTCCCCGTCCGTCTGGAATCCAAGGGCGCCATAACTCACATCCATTCATCTCACACCTGGGCTTCACAGCCCCACTCTCAATGCATCGACTTCATTCAAACCATAAAGGAATGCCTATTGACACCGGCATTCCTAGCCATTGTAGATTCCAGACCAGATGTCTGCGCTTGTCCGAGGCCAGTCAACAAACAATGACCCCATGGCCACCTGCACCTGTCATCCAACATCTGTTTGGGGATGAATGGAAGGGTGATTTCAGATGAATTGACGGGTGGGGTTCACATCAATTGAAGACGTCACACCATGCATATTTTTTGTATCATTTTCAGTCTATCTCGGTGGACCATTTTGTAGCTCTAAGCCCTCTGATGGGCAAGTTCGATCCACCCAAATAAATAGCTAGGGATTTCCCGACGACCGTTTGTAGCATAGCATTACGTTTCTCCTACCTTTTTACCTCTACGTCATAAGTACTCGAACACATACGAAATATATTGCATAAATGAGGGATATAAAATAACCCAGTGATGCGTTTGAGAGCAAACGATGCCAAGAAAGAGATTAAACAAAAACTGTAGCATTGTATATTTAAAATATTTATATATTTTTACTTGATAAAATCCAACCAAGATAGGGCCCTCATTTTTTTTTAGCACCAGGACCTTTGGATACCTAGCTACGCCGCTGTTTGAAAGAGAGAGATATAGTTTTTAAAAATTTACAAAACCATATATCTTAGTCTCATTCCTTAATTATTATGTATTTTTATCAAAACTACATGGAAAATAATAAGACTTCAAGTATTAGGGTTTCCAATTTTCTGAATAAATTAGACAAAATATTGGCTAGCTCATCATCTACTAGCATTTGTCATTTATTCAGGTAAAACCCTCTTATCCATAGTAATTATTTTTTCATTTTGATCATCCCTCTTATTTTGTCAAAACACTTTTTGAGTACCCTGTATTAGGGGTGTCCAACCCAAATGACCTTGCGGGCCACTTCGGAAAAACATTATAATCTCGCGGGTGCACATAAAAATTTGTACCTTCATATCAGATTTGGAAACAAAAAAACAAAAAAAAACATTTATTGGAGTGAAAATTTAAAACAGAATGAATTATTATTATTGTTTTCATTATTTTTCATGTATACAGACATAGATAATATAATAATGTTTTTATAGTGTTATAATATAATGTTTGAAATATTACAGTTGCCACTTTCTTGAAAATTACGGTGTTCTTATTGAATTGATCTTTCGTTACTCATTGTTGAAATTTGATAGTGCTGTCATTCGCAAACGATTAAGTATACATTGTCCTTTATCTTCACCGTCCTGAATATTTTTGAAGTTATACTTCTTTTGGGGTGTTAGAGAAATAGGATGAGGGTAAATTTTTACGATGCGTGCGCACACCGTCACTGATGCGAAAACGCTTTGTCTAGAAATATACAGAACGGGACAGATCATTCCCGCCTTCGCGAAATACTTAAAAAAAAAATTCTCTCCAAATTCCTGAAGAAGGGGACACCCGGGTTTGAACCGAGGACCTCTCGATCTGTAGTCGAACGCTCTACTACAGAGCTATACCCCGCGTCAGCGAACCTTTGCTTTGCGTTCCTTAGGAACGAATACGAAAATGTTTTGTCTAGAAATATACGGAACGGGACAGATCATTGCCATCTTCGAAATGCTCAAAAAAACATTTCTCTTCACTTCCCTGAAAAAGAGGATACGCGGGTTTGAACCGGGGACCTCTCGACCTGCAGTTGAATGCTCTACCACTGAGCCATACCTCCGCGTCTGCGAACCTTTACTTTGCGCTGATTTGTGACGTCACTACTAGTAGGGAAAGATTGTCCTTCGCCTACGGAGCTTTTCTGATGCATTTGTTTGAACACTTTTTGTTATTAAACCAAACATACTTACAGGAAATTTTAAAAAATAATAAATTAATCTTTAAATTGTGTTTCATATGCATAAAATGTAAGCCAATTTAAATAGGAATTGCAAGTATATGATTATAGATGTATTTACTACGAACGCATTGCGATGAGCATAAACACATTTATTACATTGTAGCAAATTATAAGAGCCTTTTGTATTCGTGTATTTTTTTTTTGAAATTATACTTCTTTTTGGGCGTTAAGGAAAAAGGATGAAATGAGGGAAAAATTTTTACGATGAGCACACACCGTGATCTGCGCCCTCGCACAAACCGTTGTCTAATATTTTAACATGCCACTATTTTGGTGCTATGGGACTGATATTTGGGAGATCATACTAACTATTGTTATAAACCATATCTGTTGGGACGCATTACCCCTTCCCCCTCTACCGCTTTTTGGCCAATATCTCGGCACCAGAGCCTCACAGTCCATTTGGACCTGGCTCATTCGATCCCTCTCTATCTGCTCTTCCAGTTATTTTAATTCCATGTTCATAGGGCTATTTCTTCCATAGTTTTTAATTGTCAAACTTTTTAAATTTGTTTAAATTCACAATATCTTGGCTCTTGTTCGAGTCTCGGACTTGAGATTTGAACCAAGTGTTCTACTCCTCGAGACCCATCCAGTCATCTGCTTTATTCCCATTGTGTAGGCATGGGGAGGGATTAAGCACTATAATATTATGCTGCCATGTTAATCCTATGGGGACTGGAAAAAATTTCACCCCCCCCCAAGGAATTGAGCTTGGAACTTGATTTTTGGAGGTTCCCACCATATTTTCGTATTAACGTGAGCTTTACGTGGAATTGGCCCCCTCCCCCCCACAGGGCTTCCCCAGAAATAACTCGAATCTTATGCCACCTTGGTCGACCGCACCGGATGGATTCGGTTACTCTTCCTATAAGCCCCATTTCTTTACCCATATTTAACATTTTAAAATTATTTTAGTCATAATTTTTTAAAGCCTACATAGCTCCAAAGAATTTTGAGATTCGTTAATGAAACTCGAACCATAGGCTCTCCTCGTTGAGCTGTTTCATCTGTTATAATTCGTGTGTATATAGTGGGCTTAAGGGGGCGTTATCACTAAAATTAGAGAGAATAACCATGTTATTCCTATGGGGTTCGAACTTTTGATGACGTAACGGTATTACAGAGATAGAAGGATGAAACTTTGGGATCACCTACTACTCTGTGTATCGTTGGGATGTACGTGACCATTTACGTCACAGTTATTCGGGGAGTTAGTTTTGTTTTCCTTTCCCGAGCTAGCGCCGCCCCATTTGCAAATACAGACTCCGGCCCGGGTTCTAATCGTTTACTCTTGTGTTTGTTTTACAACCAATCCCAGGTTCGAGTTGGGGATGCCCTGCTTCTTTTTTTATTTAATTGTTTTAAATGTTTTAGTTATTTTAAAATGACCACAAATCGGGGGCTTTTCAGACGGATGTTTTAAATTTTCTAAGAACGATTCTTCCCGCCGAGACATTCAGAAATGAGGTCTCAGGTGTCACATTCGGTTCACTTCATCTCCAGATACAGTCTGATACCCCCATGTTGTTGGTCCTATTGTCCCCCGTGTGGGGTTGTTTAAATTTATTTAAATCGTGATTATCTCAGGTTTGGCTGGTCTGATTGACTGAAGGTTGGGTATCGTTCAACCTGCTCGTGACTGCCTTTTTGTCTTTGGCCCAGCTTGCCCTGTTAAAGATTTTTTGAAAGATTTTAATCTTGTTACGCCAAAGAAGTAATTCCCTTTCGTGCGTACATAAGTACACACACACTTTTTTTTTTTAATGGTACAATTGCATCTGGTTTCTTGTGAATGTCTAATAGTGGCATGAATGCAGAATGTGCAGTTTGGGCCACCATCTAAAAAAGTGAACACAATGCTTGAAAATGCCGTTTTCTATTGATCGTATTTTAGCAAGGTTGTGCTTGCAAGTTGAGTTGATATAGGAAATGAAATTCCGGGGGCAAGACTCATCGCAAAGAAATCACCTCATTCCAGCAATACCCATCAAAAATTACGGGAATTTCTGAAATCTGAATCCAGTTTCTCGTTTCCCACTCTGAGATGCACTCGGTGTGGAGGGGGGAGGCATTACTGTCGTCCGGCATTATCAGGCAAAGTTTCGGGAGTTTCTAAAATCCAATTTCAGAATTTTGTACCCCGCCCAGAAAAACACCAGGTAATCATTTTCACAGCCCCAAGAATGTTGAGGTATGTCCCTGCTACATTTCGGATGAAATATGGTCTCCGACATTGTTTGAAATATTTATGGGATTTTCTTGAATTAGAGGAAATATTCGAATCAGCGGTCCCGAAATACGTCTAGATCAATTTTTGCATCCCTACGTCTGCAAGTTAGGTTGGTGCCGCTGTCCGCTACTATTATGATCGTCCGGCATTATCCGAGAAAGATTCAGAACTCATAAAATTCGATTTTAAATTCTCATTCCACATCCCGAAACGCACAAGAGACTTATTTTTCGATGCCCCAGCGAGTATTTAAATTCAGTCGCTAGAGGGAATGAAAAATCTGAAATGGGACTTGAATGCAAAGTCTTTTCCACCTAATTACTGCAATGTCCGACAAAAAAACGGGAGTTTGAAATCTGATGCCAGATTCTCATTTCCCACCCCAAGACGCAACTGGAGACTACTTTCCACGTCCCCGAGCAGGCTAGGTTCAGTCAGTGGAAGGAGGCATTAGGATCGTCTCAATCCGACAAAGTTTCAGGAATTTTACATTTCGATTTCAGATTCTGGTTTACTATCTCGATATACACCAGAAACGCAATTTTTCCGCTCTA